CGAATTTGACTTTTCTTGTTTTCTATCTTGTGATCATAATAACAAATTATTGTAAGCTTGTAATTTAGGTGATTTGCTAATTTGATTTCTTTGTTTTTTCACTTATTCTCTTGTTATTTCATTTGCTCACATAAATATGTCTCTTCTTTGATCAAGGGAACATAAGCATCACAACACTTTGCAACAATCTAAACCCTTGGGATAATGATTACTTACACCTTTTTCTTATGAAATCTACCTTGAAATTATACTAGGAAGATCGGTGCTTTGATGGGATGGGACACCAACTTGCTAAGGCTTTTGTTGCTATCAAATACTAGTACTTGTTATTTTCAGAACAACCACCATGGAATCTCACCTGGGAAATGGAGTAGGCAGTTCGAGATCTGCCAAAGCTTTAAAGAACACTTCTACTTCAGTTGATTGGTTGAACAGAGATATGCATGAGATGAGGATAAGGGACAAGACTGAGGCTGATGAGGAGAGAGTAATTCTCGATATGCTTATTTGTTTTGCCTCTCCTTTCTAGGTGTCTTAATAATTTGATGAAGTAGAATTTGATGTATTTGCTATGTTGCAGGACAGTGAACCAGATATCATCGATGGGGCTGGTGCAGAACCTGGCCATGTAATCAAAACCACACTCCGTGGACGAAATGGTCAATCAAGACAGGTTAGATGGTTATAGGAAACGTGTGTCTAGAATGTTAGTGAGGCGTAGTTATCTAATTGATTCTTATACAATTTTTTTTATTTTTGATTGGCAGACAGTCAGTTACATAGCAGAACATGTAGTGGGAACAGGTTCCTTTGGAATGGTCTTCCAAGTAAGTTTTATTATTTTTCTAGTTGTCTTGCTATTGGATAAGATTCCCCAAAGTTTTGATGTTTCCTTGTTTTAGGCTAAATGCAGAGAAACTGGGGAGGTTGTTGCCATCAAGAAGGTTCTACAAGACAAACGCTACAAGAACAGAGAATTACAAATTATGCAGATGCTGGATCATCCGAATGTTGTTGCGTTAAAGCATAGCTTCTATTCAAGAACAGAAAACGAAGAGGTTTATCTGAATCTTGTCCTTGAATTTGTTCCTGAGACTGTCAATCGTACTGCCAGAAGCTACACTAGAATTAACCAGCTGATGCCATTGATATATGTCAAACTCTACACTTATCAGGTGATTATTAACTGGATTTAATTTTTTTTTGGGTTTCTCTTAATGCAAGCGTCATAAGTACTCAATCAATTTAAGATACATTCAATTTCATTAATGATATGATATGAGCATGCAGTTATTTGACATCCCATATATGTCAGCTAGTTTTCTGTGGTTTGTTCCAGAAATGATGGGTTTTAGATTTCCTCTTGTCTTGGTAGATAGATTGTCAACTGGAAGGCAAAGTTCCTATTGTTTCTGCTATGCAAAGGACGTAGCAATGCAAATTCTGTTGAACTAAGTGTGAATCGGACCTTATAATTTGTTGGGCGTTCTCCAATGATTTTTGAGAATTTTATGTTAATGGTGCAGATTTGCAGGGCGCTTGCTTACCTTCATAATTGCTGCGGTCTTTGTCACCGTGATATTAAGCCCCAAAACCTGCTAGTAAGTTCCCTTTATTTCTCACTGAAAGAAGTTCTTGACAGATATCGCTTCTTTTACGTAAGCTATATTTGTTTGATATCTTTTTCTAGCTAAGGTATTTTCCACCACACGTAAGGATTTTAAAGGCACTAGTATACATACATAAAAGACACTGTTCCTTACTTCTACAAATTTGATCATTTTATAGTAGGTTGGATACTGACATGATAAATATTTCGTTATAATATGCCTGGAGGGTTTAAGCAGCGAGGCTTTGTATACATCTCGCTAATGTTGATTTTCAATCCTCACAGTGGTACTGGGCTTCTGTTCTCTAGTTAATTTCATTGGAAATGCTGTTAGTTCAAGCAGGGGTATGAAAATTAACTTTGTGGAAATAGTTTTGTTTCTTAGCTGGTCAGTACTTTGGTTCAAATATTTGGAAGTTTCCTTTCTTTTGATTTCACAAAGAATGAACAGGTTTAATAATGTTCAGATGTCTAGGCTCACCTTACCTTCTATTGATTATAACTTTTCTTAAAAAATGTTTGAATAAAACTGAACTTATATTTGGCTTTACACCTATTATGCAGGTGAATCCACACACACATCAGCTAAAAATTTGTGATTTTGGGAGTGCAAAAGTGTTGGTAAAATTTATCAGCTATAGCTCTAAGTGGTTTAGCTTTCCTAGTCCATGCCTGGAATTTGATGTGTTCATATACTCCACAGGTGAAAGGAGAACCCAATATTTCTTACATTTGTTCAAGATATTATCGTGCCCCAGAGCTCATATTTGGAGCCACTGAGTACACAACTGCAATAGACATATGGTCCACAGGTTGTGTAATGGCTGAACTGCTTCTTGGACAGGTTGAATCTATTTTCGAATTAGTGATGTGGTTTTGTTCTTTTTATTCTCTTTCTTCACCCTCTTAGTCGTTTGTGCTCTCGTGGACTTGTTATACAGCCTCTGTTTCCTGGAGAAAGTGGAGTTGATCAGCTTGTTGAAATCATTAAGGTAGCATTTTTCCTATCAATTCTCTTAGGGTTACTTTTAACTGCAAATAATTTCCCATGTGCTGGGCGTGGCAGTGACTGATAGTTGCTCTAAAGCTTTCTCTTAAAGGTCTCTGTCGGTTTGTTCATATCACAGTACAACTGCAACTTATTTACAGATATTTTACTTTGATCTCTGAATGAATCGTTAGACTATTGCGCTCACTGCTTATTATTTAATCGTAGGAGTCCTCTTTCATATAAAAAGAGATCAATCAACTTTGATCTTATATTCGTTTTTGATGGGCTGTCATGCAGGTTTTGGGTACACCAACAAGGGAGGAAATCAAGTGCATGAATCCAAACTACACAGAATTTAAATTTCCCCAGATAAAACCTCATCCTTGGCACAAGGTGTGCCACTAGTAGTATCCATTATCACCTAATAGGGAAATCTTTTATCAATTGGATTCTAGGTGTAAGTATCTGTCCAAGCGTTGTCTCCATTTAGTGAGGTTGATTGGAGTATATGTGATGAATTAATTTCATATTTCGTTCCTCTGACCTACGAAAAAATTTGTCATCTTTATTGAGAGACATGACCTTATGACAGTACTGTGGGATTGAAATAATCCATTTCTGTGTGGTCTTAATTAATGGAATGTTTGTATATAGGCTTCATGATCTTGGCTTTTGTGCTGGTTTGAGTTTCTATGTAGAAGAATCTGTGTTCAGCACTTTTTACAGCTGCCATTCTAGAACTTCGTGTCTCGCTCTATATCATTTTGCTCTTTGTTTGAGTCCCTGTGATAAATTTCCTTGGCTCTGCTTCTTTCTGGTCCTGTTCTTACAGCACAAGAATCATGTGTTTGTGCTTATCAGGTATTCCAAAAACGTTTGCCTCCTGAAGCAGTAGATCTTGTTTGTAGATTCTTCCAGTACTCTCCTAATTTGAGATGCACAGCGGTAAGTTATTCATTGTTTTGTCTGACTTTGTTACAATATATACTTTCATATTATCTTGAAATCAGCGTTATATAAATACGTCTCATGGTGCTCTGATAGGTGGAAGCTTGTATCCACCCGTTCTTTGATGAGCTAAGAGATCCAAACACTCGTCTGCCAAATGGTCGGCCACTTCCTCCACTTTTCAATTTTAAACCGCAAGGTACAGTTCTGTTATTTGCTTCTTCTTCTTTGTCTTGTGTTGGAATTCTTTGGACTTCAACTAGCTTGTAAGCTGCTTATTCACCTAAATTAAAACTCCCTATTCCTGATTACTTAATAGACAGACAATTATAGACCATAATCGACAATGTTATATTATATTCTGTTTGAGCGCTGAGCATAATTACTAAATCGAAGTTGAGTGTTTAATGTATAATGAACAATGTGGGATTCTCTTGAGCCTTTCAATTTGTTGTTTATGTGGTGAAGATGAAAATTTATTTTGTCCTGTAGTATTCACCTTTCAGTCTTCATATGAAACTGTGATCCTTCATCAACTCTTTTGATTTAAGTGTTCCATGAGCTGATTGATTCCTTGTAAACCTACAGAACTCTCTGGCATCCCTCCTGAAACCATGGACCGGCTTGTCCCAGAACATGCTCGTAAGCAGAACCACTTCATGGCATTGAACTCATAAAAACTCTTCAATGTCTATTGCACGACTATAAAGCTCGGTGTTCTCTTCACTATAAGCTCTCTGGATCTCTGTTCTTCCAGTTAGGATAAATTCAGTCCCTTTTTGTTTTTGTTTTTGTTTTGGTGAGCTCTTTCTCTCTTCATA